AAATCGAGATATTTGGTTGGAAACACAGAGCCAGACCATATCACAGTGTCATTCACTAGACCTGGTTAGAAAAAATTTTGATGGATCTGCATTTTTATAGTCTCAGCAGTCTTATTCCTGTTCTGTTGTTGTTCTACTTGTTCCTTCTGCTCTAAATTTAAATTCATTTCCCCTGAGAGAAGGAAATGTGTACATTGTGAAATTTTAAAAAATCTCTGCCTAAGAAATGTATGGAGGCCAAGGGAAGAAGCAGAAAGGGATGAGTTCAGATCACAGAGCTGGAAGAAAAGGGAGGATCTGGAGGTGAAAGGGAGAAAGACTCTGAAGTCTTTTTAAATAGTTTCAAATATCCCTTTGTTTACCTCTTGAATGAAGGTGATTTTTTCTTTCAGGATTTCTTTTAGAAGTTTTTAGGTGCCAGTGGAAGTAAGTCTCATATTTACATGTCTGGTTCTAAAACCAGCTCTTTCCAATGGTGTATACAAATAAATTACTTTAGGTATATCAAAAGATGCCCATTTTTGGTCATTGTTGCCTATGATCATTCCAGGTTAGATGGGTCTGCTTTCCCAGACACTACAAGAGAGTACCCCATAAATCGTATATGTAATTCCAGCAGGTATTTCTAAAAAGAGTGTTCAGGTTTTGAACACCCTTATTATTGATTTCTCATAATTCAGGAACTTTTCAAAAGTGACCAAAGCCAGGAATGTGTTTAGGATCAAACTGTGGCATGTCTTGGACTGTCTCTAATTGTCAGATGGTAGCAGAGTCCTCAAGGATGAGGACAATTGGATTGTCTCTAATTGTCAGATGGCAACAGAGTCCTCAAGGTATGGGGGACCAGACCCTCATATTACGTCCATCAGGAAGAGCAAAAGGGGTATACATTTCAGTTAGGAACTAACAGGAATTGGTTAAAATTAAAGACTAATTCAGAATTTTCAAGCGATAGTGAACAACTGCTATCTCAAAGGCATACAATATAAAATGAAACCACTGGTGCCTAACTGCCAGTTCTTTCACTCAAACCTGTGCTGTGAGACAGAGGTGAAAAAACCTTGACCCAAACCCCTGGTTCTGAAGCAGAGGCAGAAAAACCACGACCTGCACCTCTGCTGTAAGACAGAGCGGGGGAAAAGGCAGAGCTCTTTACCCGAATCTTCTGTCCAAAGACAGAGACCGAAGCCCTCACACTTAAAGGAAAGAAAGGGTTAGAAAAACAGCCCAAATAAACTCTAGGCCTTCAACCTAAGAGTGGGAGGTCCACATTCAGGAGAACTCGCCTGAAACACCTGACGAGACTTCTGAAGGCGGAGAGTTCACACTGGTACCAAGCGCTGCTTTCAGAGAGAAACACCAGGTGTGTGGGGGAATCACTCCGTATCCTGCTGACTTACTCTAGATGTTTGACCTAAAAGGAAGAAGTTGAGGCAAAATTAATATAAGTTGGGAGTTTATTTGGGCCAAGCTTGATGACCGCAACTCGGGAACATAGATTCAAGTTGCCTTGAATATACGCTCTGAGTAGCAGCAGTTGCAAGTGGATTTTTAAAGGGAAAGATGAGGCAGTTCCTGAGTTATTTACCAAGAATTTACATTAAAATAAAACAAGATACTGATTGGCTACACATTATGAAACTATAGGATGTGGGTTATAATGTCTGGTGCAGCATTAATCAGTAGGTTAATGTTTAGCTTCTGTGGCAATAGTAAGCAGTTTCAAGAGACAAATACACAGCTTAAAAGTGGGGGAGGAGGACAGGATCGCTGTTTCACTTTAATGCCTCTCTGGGCCTCATAATTTAAAAGGATTTGCATTCCTCAGATAAAGTTCTTTTCTTAACATTTAAAAAAATTTCGGCTCAGTATCATAATTATCTATATTTATGTTAACATAGGAATGCTTTAAATTATTTTGCCATTTATAAAATTTGTGATGCAGGAAAGCCACACTATCCTGTGTCTTTACCTTCTGAGTAGCAATTATACCTCCGGGATACAGGTTTGTAGTCTGAGAAGTGCTGGCATTTTCTTTTCCTTTGCAACGCAAAAGTCTCTAATTCAAGTTCTCTTTTAGCATTATTCATCCATTCTTTGATAAATATTTACTGAACATCTTCTATTTGCTAGACACATCAACAGGACTGAGGATACAACTGTGAACAAGATATGTATGACTCTTATCTTCATGGGAGCTATCATTTAGAGAGAAAGAAAGAGAAATAAAGAGGAAATGAAAATATATTGTGATGTGTGTAAAGACAAAGAGGGAAACTTAGAGTGCTAAGAGAAATGTAAACAATGTTACCTATCTTGTGTTAGCTTGCGTAGGAAAAAAAAAAAAATGAAGAAAACGGTCACCTAATCCCAAAGCAGGTGATGAAGAAAGATTTTCGGACAGACGCAGTGGCTCACACCTGTAATCTCAGCACTTTGGGAGGCCGGGCCGAGGCAGAAGGATCGCTTGAGCCCAGGAGTTCAAGACTAGCCTGGGCAACAGAGGGAAACCCTGTGTCTACAAAAAAAATCAAAAAAGTAACTTGGTGTGGTGACGTCTGCCTACAGTCTCAGCTACATGGGAGGCTGAGGCAGGATGATCCTTTAAACCCAGGAGGTCAAGGCTGCAGTGAGCCATGTTCATGTGACTGCATTGCATCCTGGGTGACAGAGTCAGAGGGAGACCCCGTCTCAAAAAAAAAGAAAACCAAAAAAATTTCCAGGACCAAACAGTCTACAGGATGAGCTGGAGTTAGCCAGGTAAAGTATGGTAAAGAATATTCCAAGCCTGGCTTAGAGTAAGCCCTGGAGGCTACAGAGAACATGGACTCTATGGGAACAAATTCAGTGTGCTAGTGAGTGGACAGATGTCAAAAGCGCAAAGGAGAAAGATGGGGGGGTGGGGGCGAGGGAAGCTGGAGAGAAAAATCAAGGCAGATTATGAAGGGCCTCTGTTAAACAGTTTAGAAGGGGGCTGAAAGTCACCAAAAGGATTTAAGCCTAAAAAGAACTAGTTAATATGTGTTTTTTAAAAAGATTGCTCAGGAACTATGTCTGGAAAAGAACAAGGACTTGATTTACATTAAGGTAAGAAGTGGAATTAGAAAATCTGGGGCCCAAAGGAATTCAAGTGAGTTAATTCCTCCCCTTTAAAGTGTCTATTTTCTCCAAAGATAACCACTATATCCTCTCTGGGGCTAACATTCTCTGGCCCTTTCCCATTGTCTCTGGCAGCTCCCAACCCAAGTCACAAGGGTTACAGCATTCCCTTAAGGAACACATACTTTTCCAACCTGCTGCAGCACACAGAGCACATGTAATTTTTTATTTTACTGTATTTTATTTATTTTTCCAAGACAGAGTTTCACTCTGTTTCCCAGGCTGGAGTGCAGTGGTGTGATTTTGGCTTGCTGCAACTTCCGCCTCCTGGGTTCAAGTGATTCTCATGCGTCAGCCTCCCAAGTAGCTGGGATTATAGGTGTATGTCACCACACACAGCTAACTTTCGTATTTTTAGTAAAGACGGGGTTTCACCATGTTGACCACTCTGGTCTTGAACTCCTGACCTCAGGTGATCCGCCTGCCTCGGCCTCCCAAAGTGCTGGGATTACAGGTGTGAGCCACCATGCCTGGCCAAGCACATGTAATTTTAAAGGTGAACATACTTGTGGCCTTTCTTATTTTATTTTATTTTTGTTATTTTAGAGATGGGGGTCTTGCTATGTTGACCAGGCTGGTCTCAAACTCCTGGGCTCAAGTGATCCTCCCACCTGGACCTCTCAAAGTGCTGGGATTACAGGCGTGAGCCACTGTGCCCAGCCTGGCCTTTCTATTTGGCTTTTTTGATCTGATATCCTAGTAGAGCCTATCATTAAATTTCCACCTATAGAAACAGGAAGTCAGGAAAGGACTTGAGGGAGTTTCGGCAGGTTAATGATTACAACGGGAAGAGAATACAATTATTGAGGTGTTTTGACTCACTTGGTCATTTCCTGAGAAACTCTGCTTGAATTTCTCCACTCTTCAGGTGGAGATTATGACACTGTCCAGGCTTTCAGGAGTCTAACCTCTTAGACAATAAAAGACATACTCTTTGGTAACTGCAGTGGCTAAGCCAAGGAATAAATATGCATAACTACGACAAACAGGTACTTGATGAGAACATTATCTAAAACTGCCAGATATTTAGACCAAGTGCTCCTTTTGTTATAAGAAGCTGGTATGATGTCCATATGGTTTTCAGGGCTGCTGTTGCCTCTAAGAAGAAGGAATAGTCTTTTTCCTGAACTACTCTCTCGCTGAACTTTTAGGCTGCAATTATGTCAGTTCAAAGTGGGCAGATTTGCCAACTGAAAAAATGATGACACGCAGCTTCCCAACTCGGTCTGTGGGTGAACGTCATTCCCCAGGAAACCAATGCCACAAGATTAGTAGGACGCGGATCACAAGAAATGTTTACAATGCAGGGCATCACAGACTGCAAACCAAACAGGGTAGGAGGACACGGGACCATTTCCTTTTCCTGTCTCCATCTGACTCTGGAAGGCGGGGACAAGACATTTAAAACCAGGACCATTCCAGGAGGACAACACATTAGCTACTGCCCTCCAGCTCCTTTCAGTGTTGTTTCCGTAAAGGACTTACAAACTGGGGAGGGCGGTGGCTTCCAAAAGCGCACAGGCGTGCCTTTTCCAACTTAGTCTTCTTATTTTCCCTTTCTGCTCCATAACTACAACGTGTTTCTGTTCGTAATCATCTTGGCTTGTCCTTACCTCTGCTTGTAAGAAAAGTCTTTTGCGCCATTCCCCTCCAAGCCCCAGGGAAGAGCCTGGAAAAGCGCTTACACCTCAGACCCAGTGTCGCTCGGCCGTCAAAGGAGCGAGCCACGTAGAAAACCCCGAGGTAGGACCGTGGCCCCTAGCTGGGCCCGGGTAACGATGCGGGGCAGGGAGCGCAGGCGGCCGGGGAGGGCAGCGGCCCCTTTAAGAGCAGGCCACGCCCCCTCCGCTCCTCCGTTCGCGGCCAGCGGTCGGTGGCGGCCGCTACGGTGCTGACAAGATGGCGGCTGGCGGAGCTGTCGCTGCGGCGCCCGAGTGCCGGCTTCTCCCCTACGCGCTACACAAGTGGAGCTCCTTTTCCTCCACCTACCTTCCCGAGTAAGTGCCGGGGCCTCAGCTCGTGCTGTCCCACTCTTCCGCGTCAGCACTGTTGGGCCAGGGGTGCAATGGAGGGCAGCCGAGCCGAGAGGCCCAGGCGGGGCCTGCGGAGGGGGACGTGCGGCCTCCGGAGTCTTAGTTCAGCTGCTGAAAGCGTTGCTCGGCCCCGCTCGGGAAGGGGTTAGGGTCCTGAGAGCGAGCCCAGGGAGAAGGGGCGAGGTGTGTGGTGGATCCGGGGCGCGCACAGGAGAACCGGAAGCCCAGTTGTTCTGCGCTTGGGATTTGGGGGTTGAGGTTGAGGAGGGCTTAGGGGACGGGCGGCTCTGGGAGGTGGGGCAGGAATCCGAGCTTGCGGGGCCCGGCCCGCTTGCAAACTACCCCGAATGTCTGAGGTCGTCCGAGGTGGTCGGCGTTGGGGGACATGTCGTTCAGTCGATTGCTGCCGGGACAAAGTGTAAAGCCGAGGAGTGCCTATTCCAGAGTGGGGTCATTAAAAGTGATTAGCTCTAGAGTAGTGTTAAAAGTCACGGAAGGCTGGAAAGTTGTGGAATCCATCTGAATCCTAGCAGGCGGGGAGAAGTTGTAGAATTGGCAGACGTTGTCTTTAATGCCTGGAAGTTCTGAAAAAGATAGGGAGTGGGAAGGAGTGACATTACCGAAGAATTTCAGTATTACAGCTCATTAGAAGATGGGTTTTTATGGACACAGACCCGTTTCCCAACCCAGAAACTAAAACAGAAAAATCTGGCTTTAATGAATTTGATTTTCAACACCGGCTTTGTCTTGATCCCTGATTTAGGTGTTAAAAAAGAGTTCAGTTGCATTGTTAGGGTTTGTTTTTTTTTTTTTTTCCTCTAGCAAGTTCCTTCTGAAATGCTGAAAATACTCTTACATAGTATCTTATTTATCTTTGGCTTATTTTTGAAAGGAGGAGCAAATCTAACTCCAATTTTACGTGCTAGTGGAGAAACTGGCTTAGTAAAGGCTTAAGAGCTGTGCAGATCCTGAAGAAAAATGCTAGTTGTCCCTCTAACCATTTCACAGGACCGAAACGATTTTATGAACAAAACAAATTAATGAATAATATATTTTACTGAATATTTTGCTAAACAAAAAAGTGGCTAGATCTGTGAAGCATACTCAAGTAAGTTTTCCATCTATATTTGAGAAATTCTTCACATTTATCCAAATTTGATTTCACTGGTTATATCAATGAAGAATCTCAAAATGGAGCTGCAACTGGAAGAATCTGCCTTGACTGCCAGCCTCCCATTTTATTCACCAGGTCAAGGGTTGGCATTCAGTAGGATCTGGCCCAATGAAGGGTGCCAAGTGACCTGTGGTTTGATCTGGCCTGTGTAGCCTATTCATGGCCGTATCCCTGATTGATGCTGAAACCCAACTTTCAGTTAGTGAGCCAGGTAAACATTCCAGCCATGTACTTGGAGTTGAAAAGTGGCCCTATGTACTTGACCTCTGATATTCTGGGTTATCATGTTCTTGAATCTGAAGTTATTCAGCTTTTTTCTATACTCAGGCTAGGATTATGGACAGTTGGGAATTGGTGTGGCATTGTTTGATCTAATTGTAGAGACATTTTTCTGGTCTTGAATTGGCCTATTTCCAGGATGTCACTCCTTAAATTTTTGGTGTAGGCCTGAGGCTTGGATAATACAAGTACTATTTGCGTTATCTGTTGTACAGACATTTTAAGAAAGTACATTTCAAGCAGGAAATGATTTAGTGGGATGGCAACTTTAATCTGACTTTGTGTCTTGTTACTCTGGCCCCTGGTTTGCAGTGGGCAGAACACTAGTTTTGGAGTTAGAAAGCAACAATATGAGATTGGAGAAATACATAGCTGCAATTTTCTCAAGTACATACATAAAATAGTATTTAATACATATGTAACTTTCATACACTTCCATTTACTATATCTTATTTAATCTCTATGACATGTTGGAGAATATTGTGTCTGCTGGGTTGGTGTGTGTCATGCCTAAATTATAAAACTCTTGGCTCTGAACTTCTATTAGCAAGCAAAGATGTTACTCCTCTGTGTGACAGAAGATGTAAGAAAGGGATGGACTTTACTTACCTTTGCCCTAAAATCCTCTCTAGCAGCAATTGCTGTATCTTTATTGACAGTGGAAACCATATTAAGGTACTTCTTAAACAGGTCTCATTTTAGGTAAAGACATTTGTTGAAATTGTCCACAAAGTGGCACGTATTTGTTAACATAGATATAAGCATTTCGAGGTGGCAGTAATAAATCAGTAACAAAAATGGTAAACAGTTGTGATGTGCCATCCATTTGCTAGGCTCTCTGATGAACATTTTTAAGTGTATTAACTCATTTAATCCTTACCACAGTCCCAAGAGGAATCTCCATTTGCCAGATGTTGGAAACAGGTAGGGAGAAGTTAAAACTTGCCTAAGGTCACACAGCTACGATGGAGCCAGAATTTGAATCAAGGTAGTCAGACTCCACAGTCTGTGGTTTTTAACTATAGTGTTTTACTGCTTCTGCACAAAGGTATATATAGTACAGGAAATCAGAACTTTAAGAGCTCTTGTATTAAAGGCACTTATATTTTAGTTGTGTAAAGAAATGTGAAGTCATTAAAGAAAAATTGAACAATTTTATCTCTATTTTCTTTCTAAGGACTTAGAATTTTTTTTCCCTTCTTCCAGAGGCAGAAAAAGTAAACATTTCCCCTTTCAACTCTTTTTGATTTATTTGGACTTTAAAAATGTTAAAGTGGATCCAGTTATAGGGAACACATTTTTACTTTGAGACTTAAAAAAAGGCCTTTTATTTTTGTGTGCTTAGAAGAGATTGCCTGTATTTTACTTTTTTCTGAAATTTACACCTAATTTAAGAATTAAATATACTTATTTAAATAATTCATAGAATTACATATACTCTTATACATAAAAATGTTTTGTAAACTGCTAATCCCTGTACTCAAATTTTTTTTGTACCTAATAATGATGCTAGCTACAATTTGTTGAGCACTTAATATATGCAAGATGCTTTTTGTATACAGTTTTGTTTAATTCTTGGCACATACCTGTAAGATAGGTATTATATATGTGTGTGTGTTTTGCAGAGGATGAAACTGAGGTCCATACAGGGTAAGTAGCTTGCCCAGGGTCATATAGTTTTCCAGAGGCTTGACAGGTTTTCTGACTTAAAAACTATTGCATTGTGACTTTAATAACAGTCACCACTTATTGAGTACCTTCTATTCTTCAGGCTCTGTACTGAGCATTTAGCATGCATTCTTTGATGTAGTCTTCACAAAAACCCTATGAGATAAATATTATTATTCTATTTTAGAGCTAGGAAGAGTGAGATTCAGAGAGGTAAGTTAACTTGCCCAGGTCTAAGAGTTGAAAATGTAAGAGGAGCAGGACAGGGTGGCTCACACCTGAAATCCCTGCACTTGGGAGGCCAAGTCTGGAGGATCACTTGTGCCCAGGAGTTTGAGATCAGCATGGGCAACACAGTGGGACCCCATCTCCAATAATAATAATAATAATAATGAGGAGGAGGAAGAAAATGTAGGTGATAAGGTTCTCATCTTGGGCCTTTTGACTTCTTCTGTTACAAAAGCTGCTCATTATTATACATGGCTATTGTATATGTCTAATTGAGATTACAGATAAGAAGTGCTCTAAGGTTAGACTAGCAAGAGAGGGAAAAATAGATTTTATCTTGATGTGTAAGATTTTAGTATACTCATGAGAACAGGGAGAAACTTTGAAAGTATTTTTTACATATTAGGTAATTTCATTGGTATACAATGATTCTTATCTTGTTTACATATTATTGAATGACTTAGATAATTTAGATGATAAAATCTGATAGATTTTTAAGTGTGTTTACCTTTTTCCTGTTAGTCTTATTACTTAAAATTAAATAGTACTTAAAATAGTACCTTGTGTCAACATGTGATTGATTCATGGTTCAGAGTACAAATGTTATGATTTGACCACTAGAATAGAAGATGAATTTATTTCAACTATTTTTAAAACTAATTTTAAAATTTCACATTTGAAAATGAATATAGGCTAGGCACAGTGGCTCATGCCTGTAATCCTAGCACTTTGGGAGGCTGAGGCAGGACTATCACTTGAGGCCAGGAGTTTCAGACCAGCCTGGGCAACATAGTAATACCCCATCTCTACAAAAGGAAAAAAATATATAAATATTTATATATTTTTGTTACATAAAACATATATGCATATTTATATATTATTACGTAAAAAATATGTAAGTATATATATATATTCTTTTCTTTTCTCTTTGTCTCTACAAAAGAAAAAGACAGCACCTCGTCAACACCCCATGTCTAAGAAAGAAAAAATAGACACTTTTTATGTAATATATAAAAATATACTTTATATATATTTTAATATATATTTTGATGTAAAAAATGCTCTACGTTTGTTATGGAATATTTGTAAAATATGGACCCACATAAACAAAATTTAAATTAACCTTGATAACACTACCTAAAGATCACTAGTCACCCTTTAAATACTGATTATCATTCCAGATCTTGTACTGTAGATGTATATGTTTTTCAGTTTACTTTTGTCCTCTGTTTACTGTTCTGTATTTGCTTTTTCCTCCTTAACAAATAGTAAATATTTCCTTATGTTATTAAATATTCTTCTATATTGTCTTTTTTTTTTAAGGGACAGGGTCTTGCTCTGTCACAGTGGCATGATCATAGTTCACTGCAGCCTCGACCTCCTGGGCTCAGGCGATCCTCTGGCCTCAGTTTCTCAAGTAGCTGGGACTACAGGCACATGCCATCATGCCTGGCTAATTTTTTTTTTTTTTTTTTTGTAGACAGAGTCTTGGTCTATCACCCAGACTGGAGTTTAGTGGCACCATCCTGGCCCACTGCAAACTCTGCCTCCTGGGTTCAAGCGATTCTTGTGCCTCAGCCTCTTGAGTAGCTGGGATTGCAGGTGTGCGCCACCA